ATCCCTCGGTGACGCCACCGCGGAGGGGAGTGGCGGGGCGGGAACTCGCCTATTACGCGAGCGTTACGTTACCGCCACGTACCGCTGGGGAGGTAGGGGTCAACATGTCACAATATATATATGTTTGGAATGTTTCAGGTAACCAAGAAGAAGATGGCGTCAGTGTTGCAGTGGAAGTTGCATCGCCTGTGCTCGGTCCCGAGACTGATTATACTGGTTGTAGTGATAATAGTTCTTATTCTGCTACTGAAGCCGACCGAGGTAGATTATGGCTTCCTTCCCTACAAGCAGGAACTCTTCGACACTGTTGCTAACAGTCCCTTTAACGGCTTCAACAATGAAACTGGTACTCAGGATGGAGAATATATTGTTCCAAACATTGTCCATTTCTTATTTTTTGATATCAGTGAAATATCTTTTGTGGATGCAGTTTGTGTATTGGCAGCATTTAAGAATCAGCGCCCAGAGAAGATATACTTCCATACTAATGTGGCAGAATTCAAAGGCCCTTACTGGGAGAAACTGGAGAACACGCCGGGTTTGACCATAACAGTCAGGAAAGTGGCCCTACCAGATACAATATTTGGACAGAAATTCAGTTCATCATATTACCGATGGCACGCTGGGGATGTTGTGCGAATAAAGATCCTAATGGAATATGGAGGAATATTCTTAGATAACGATTCGTATTTAGTGAGAAGTTTAGACGAATTTCGTAAATTTGAAATGACGTTAGGATGGCCTGAGGGACAGTACTTGGGAACGCAGGTGTTGGTGGCCCATAAGGATGCCAGGTTCCTACGTCTCTGGCTTGAAACTTACAGACAGTATTATCCTAATCGGTGGTACTTCAATGCTGGAGAGAAACCTACAAGAGAAGTGCTGTGGTTCAAACCTGAATTGGTGCATCGAGTGAAGGTACTATTTGGGGTACAAGGCCTTAGTGAAGAACTGTACAGGACAGAGGGTTGGTATGAGTGGCGCCGTTTTTATGCAGTACACCTCTTGATCAGACATCGCTGGTACCTGGACAGTTTGTGGAATATGTTTTGGTGGCCACGACTTAATGAAAATAACATCCTTGACTACCCCAAAACATTTGGTGAAATGGCCAGGGATGTTTACTTCTAATAAACAGCTGACGTATATTCTTATTTATTGAACAGAACTTCACAGACTGTAATGTTGTGTTTAAAGCAACACTTTTATGTGATGTATGACATTTCATTGGATGTCCAGCCACGGTTACCGTGGCCTGGATGGTACTTACGAGGGAGAGTCAGTAAATAGGTCAAAAATTGAAATAAAACAGCTGTAATGGATGTAATAAGGTTTCTGTGTTTATCACTAGGTAGTAGCACACTCCAGGTTCATGATAGTCTAGGTAGCAGACGTGCATGCACATGTACAGATGATGGTTTCAGTAGTCAAAATGGCGACCGTGCTTCTATAGTGTACTGCTGGAGAGCAGCGATCTATTTTGCCTTTTTGTGGGCAAAAGAATTTAATGCAGAAGGTGTTAATAAAGAAATATTATCTGTTTACGGCTGGAAGTGTGTGTCGCGTAAAGTGGTTCAACCTTGTGGCAAACGTTTCGCTGATGATGATGTTGAGACGGAGGTGCGGAAGTGGCAGAGACAACAGCCAAAAGACTTTTATGCTGGGGGTTCCGACGGACTGGTAAGGCGATGGGACAAGTGTATCGATGTTGGTGGAGGGTATGTCTAGAAACGAATGCTTTTTTCCATGTTCGAATATCATGTTTTACCTTTTATATCCATTTGTGATCTATTTACTGACTCTCCCTCGTATGTACTGAAAAGAACAGATACCTGAGATGAAAGACGATGCTTTATGTAGTATTTCAGGAAGACATCTAGTCATACATATTTCCAATTTATATGAATATAGTATCATTGACTTGTCTTTCTAATATCATTTCTTTCGCAGCTTTATACACATGTTGATCAAAAACGGTTTATAACTAACGAGTGTACCTAAGTTCTATTTAATAAAGTTAAATGATTTTTACATATATATGCATATGCTTGTAGTAAAATGTCCTCAGAACTAAATGAAAATGAACCTGATTCCCCCACCTCGCATTCTGGATATGTTTCTGCTTAATACAAGTGCATTTGGATAAGAATACCGGCATTGCAAAATACATGCTAGCTAACTCAATCACTAACTAACTACATAGAGCTGAGTCCTTCTTGAGAAGCCGCCAATTATACAGCTACTGAAAGATTTATTACCATGTTTACAAGAGCCCCTCACTGGTCCCTACCCCAAGCGGGATCGACCCAGTCCATACCACCCTATCCTATCTGTATAAAATCCATTTTAATATTATCCACCCACCTACGTCTTGGTCTTCGTAGTGATCTCTTTCTTCTGGCTTTCCCACCAATATCCTATAAGCATTCCTCGTCTACCCCATTCGTGCTACATGACCTGCCCACCTCATCCTCCTTGACATGTTCATTCTAATTATACTTGGCGAGGAGTACAAGTTGTGAAGCTCCTCATTATGCAGTTTTCTCCAACCTCCTGTCACTTCATCTCTCTTCGGTCCAAATATTCTCCTCAAACACAGTCAGTGTACATAGTGTGTTCCTCGCTTAATGTCAGAGACCAAGTTTCACACCCATACAGAATCACAGGCAAAATTGTAGTTCTGTATATTCTAATTTTTACGTTTTTAGACAGCGGACGAGAAGACAAATGTTTCTGGACTGAATGATAGCAAGCACTACCTGAATTCAATCTCCTCTTAATTTCCTCCTGAATCAGGTTTTGATTGTTACTGTCGTTCCCAGATATTTGAAATGTGCCACATTTTCAAATGATCTGTTAGCTATCTTTATATCATGAGTTTGCCCTGCATTCTGGTGGCAAAACAACTTAGTTCTCTCTGTGTTTATTTCTGGACCAACCTTACTAGCTTCTATCGCTGTTATCACCAAGTAGATTCACATTATCAGCACAGACCAGCAACTGATGTGCCCCATTTAATTTCGTTCCAACCTAGTTTTCCTGGACCTTCCTAGTGGCATATTCTGAAGTAAAGTTGAAAAACAGTGGCGATAAAGCATCTCGTTGTTTTAGACCATTCTGAATAGAGAAATTATCAGACAGATGTTCACCTATACGTACTTTGCTATACCTTTCGTTTAAGCACATTTTAATCAGCCTAAGTGTTTTCATGGGTACCCCAAACTCTCTGAGTATATTGTATAACATCTCCATCCTAACTGAGTCGTAGTCTTTCTTGAAGTCTACGTATAGCTGGCAATGTATGTGCTGCTCGTCTTTATGATCCAAATTCACAAATCAAGAAATTTCTGCTAGATGTGTACGCACTGTTACTAATATGTATGTACGTTGTTATTCTCTCTCTCTCTCTCGTTGGCTATTTAACGATGCTCTCAGTACTGACACTATATAGCGTGAGATGATGGAATGGGAACTGGCAGGGGAAACAGAAATACTCGGGGAGAACCTGACCGAGACATATTTGAACATAAATCTTACGCAATATAAACCGACCTAAATAATTCTGAGAGCTCAGAGATCTGATGTAAAATATTGTAACGGAAATGCAAATGCTATGGAGCCGCGATAGCACAGTCGATATAGCGACTAGCTACGGGCTGAACGACCGAGGGGTCGGAGTTCGAAACTCGCCAGAGTTAAGAATGTTCTCTACGTCGTCCAGACCAGCTCTGGGGTCCACCAAACCTCCTATCCAATGGGTACTGGGGGTAAAGCAGCCTGGACGTGAGGGTGATCACTCACATCCAGCTAGTACCAAGGTCAAGAAAATGTGGATCTATACATACACTCCCACCTACGCGTTCATGCCGTATTGTTTAATTAGTTAAGCATAGTAACAACTTTAATTGTACTGATATTGTCAATCATTTTATAATTTAACGAATCCAGATTCCATTAACAGTTTAATCCCCCGTGCTTGTAATTAAGGAAAAGTAGGACACGCTACTTAAACGTACGTATTTTAAGGATACATTTTTGTCACAAAATACCGCCTCCATTTCTTAGCGAATATAGGCTCATTTTGTGCTAGCAAAAACATTTTAAATAACTGTGTTCCCCCTCTCCTCCGCCCCGTGGAGCCTGCAGTTGGACGCTTTGAGGATTTGGATTCATACGGACCTAAAAACTCAGTTTCAATCTTGTACTTAGTTACAGCGCGTACATTCATCATATCTTTCTTTTAGGCTCTTTGATAGTCATAGCAACAAAAATTCACGTGACACTGAATCACTTCGAAGTTAACTTTAAATTCGGTTCGACATTTTCCCCATCAACCTTTTTTTTTTTTTTTGGGACACGCGGTAACGTACTTGGTTGAGGCACTATGGTACAGGCCGGAAGGTAACGGGTTCGAGTCCCAATGAGGTAATTGGATTTTTCATTTGACCTCGTCCTTCTAGTCGCATTATGGCCCTGTGGTCGACTCAGCCTCTACGAGAAATGAGCACCAGGAATCTTCCTGGGGGTAAAGGGCGGCATGCGCTTAAGGCTGACAACCTTACCGCCATCTATAAGCCTGTTGTCTAGAAAATGTGCGAGCCTTGACGTCTCACAACCCTGTGGGCCTTCACGGTCTGTTACAGGGATAGTTTTTTCTTTCCTTCCCACTTTTACCTTCTCTTTGTTTACGATAGATGTTTAGTCACAGCATTGAAATTATATTTTGCCTGCTGCTATAATGTCCTTTGATATCACTGCGTACTCTACATGCTCATGGGATTTCTAACGAACGTTCCGCCATATGCATATTACAAGCTCGTCACACAGAATAAGCACACACACACATACACGCAATGTCTACACAATCGTATTTATTCTCGCATACATAAAAGAGAGAGGAAAAAAGTATCCCTATAACAAGCGGTGGAGGTCCATAGGGTTGTGACATGTTGAGGCTCCCACATTTTCTAGACAATCGGCTCGCAGATGGCCGTGAGGTTGTCAGCCTTACGCACCAGCCGCCCTTTACCACCAGAGAGATTCCTGGTACTCATTTCTGTTCGAGGCTGAGTCAACCCTAGGGCCAAAGTGCTACTGGAACAATTGAGTAAATTGAAAAATCAACCTCAGCGGGACTCGAACCCGCGACCTCCCGGCTTGTAGCATAGTGCCTCAACCAACTACGCTATCGCGTGCCCCCCATAAAGAAGCGAAGAAACCTCAAATGTTAATACGTTATTTTCTTGCAGTGTAGCCGGGTTCCGGTAGTGGGAGGGAGAACAGCGTTTGTTCAGACAAACGGATGACGCACGAAAACACGGAATTCTACAAAAACTTTATATAGGTCCAAGATCAGGCGGCCCAAGCGAGGGGAAGGCTTGACGTTTATAGAGGGTCGTAAGAAAGTGGAACTTCATTGAAAACGGAGCTAAGGCTAGGGCCCATGAGACAAGGACCTCCATTAATTTCTTGCAACCTAAGCAAATTCTCTGTGGATTTCGAAAAAATAAAATATAACCTTATGTCAAAATATTGTGGCATATTTGCTCAGAGCAAGAACTGTGGAGGCAGAGAAACAGCCGTTACTAGGTAATGCCCGCACGCAACAACAGAGGAATTGTCACAATACGTGACGCGTACAGCCGTTGCTATGGAGCGATTGAGTAAGCACGTACGCGGTGACGTCACGCAACAGTAGAAGAGGTGTTGCAAGAGGCGTTCTCTGTGGATCCGCACCGAGGCTGCGAGTCGTAGGAGGAGACGAAAGGGGAACCTGGTGCCGGGGAGTATAACTGGCTCACCCTGTTCCTGGGGGATATAAAGACGGGGACCTGGCTCTCCAGGTTGGGAGAGTCTCTAATCTGAGACAGTAAAATATGGCCATGAGTCCCGCTACACTCAGACCCGAGAATGACTGCGCTGGCGAGGGCCAGCAGCAATTTTAAACGATACACCCACTCTCTCTCGAGAGAGGATGTTCCATAAGGACTATGACCGCAAGTGCTCAGTTGAAAAATATATACTGGTCGCGAGTCTCAAGGGGCTTGGGGCCAAGAGGAACTGATGAGCGGTAAACCGCCAGTCGTAAAGCAACTCTTTGACAGTTCAGGGAGTGAGTGCAGTGCAGTTGAAGGTGCAGTTCTGAAGTGTTAACTAGCGATCAACGGAAGATGAAGATTCGTTACCAGCAAACGTCTAGTGAAGACAGTGCAGAGGAATAGTCATTGTGGAGAGCTCATACCAAGTATAGACTAAAGGCTGCGCCATAGCTCAAGCGGTTAGTAGCTGGCTTCCCACCGCAGCGGCCCGGGTTCGATCCCGGGTCTG